TATAGTATCCGATAATGTCAAGTGTTCCCTAAGTTAGATCAGTGATCTCTCTTTGGAGTTGATAACGCGCTTGCACCATTTGGTTGATTATATCTATCCTCCAGTTCTTTCCATAGTTCTTGGGCAGTATTCACGTGTTGAAGGCTATCTATGATGTCCTTTGAGAGTGAATTCAAAATCCACAAGGTGACCATGTCATCATATCTCTCCCATTGCTCGTAAGTTGGATCTGTTGCAGCAGGCTTGGCGCATTTTTCATTGAGTCAACCCCATTTTATTTTTCACTGCCATACCTCGCAAAATTCCTCTCCTCCAAGATCTGTATCCGGTACCATCGAAAACAATCGGCACAAGTGTAGATCCAGCACTTTCAACTGGATGCAAGTAGAGTGGATGATCAATTGAGTTTCGGTGGAAACCATGATCAATGAATGATAGATTCGGAACGAAAACTATTGATTTATGTGAAGTAAGCTTGAGAGAGAAACAACACAATGTGCTCTGATACCATGTCAAAAAAGAGATCTATCAAGCTTACTGAACCTCTATTAATGGAGGAGAGATGAATTTTGTTAACTGTAAGGAGATGAAATGAAGAAGATTGATTAGGGGAAAAAAGTATCTTATTCCAAGTACTATCATCCATATATATACATGTATAACAGATCAAGTAAAATATCTAATCTGTAGAATTTAATCCTAACCGACTCAACTAACTCTGTATGGAACACTTAATTTATTGTATCTACCAATCTGATCCTCTAACTAACTCAAATAGTGCATCATCTCAACAAAAACGAAGAAGTGATAGAGGAAAAGAGAAGTATGGAGGCAGAGCATTGGAGAATTGATTGGGGATGAAGATGTATGTACAAATCCTAGAACCAAAAATTAAAAAATTTAGGAGTATTTAGCAGAAATTGAAGACGATAACAAGTTAGAGAACCTATGATATGCGGTCTTTAATTAAAAACCTTCGAGAAGATTCTCTTGACTTGGTGCCAAGCATAGAACAAACAATACTGAAGGTACTTTCATTATCACATTATGCCATAAACCATGGCCTCCATGAACAAACAACTATCTGCCATCTCTTACTGCTCCAACCACTGCTAATATGGAAGAACACAGTGGTATCTAAGCCACAATGAATTCTACAGATCTCATTTTTCAGTTTATCTTCGACCCTAATGGCGAGAAAATAGGAAAAGAGAAAATGAGCAAGGCATATAAAAATTAGCGCCTAGATATTATAAAATTTCAACTTTCCTGGGGTTATTAACTCCCGAAATTGTACCAAAAATTGTAGGGGTTAATCAAACCTCCATAATTTGATACAACTTCTGGGGGTTGAGTTAACCTCCATGATAAAACCTCCCTAATTTTTATATTTTTTTGTAGTGGGATATATATCCCTCATACCGAAAGAAGGTGAATCTACTTTTCAAGGTAGAATCCGTACAAATCTATTATTCACTAAAGTGGATTCACTAGTTAGGACATTTAAGAAAATTCTATGGGGGCACGCAATTTGAGACTAAAGATTATTAGTAAAGAATACCCTATTTGATCCTCCACCTCAAAGCTCTCTTGATGCTTCGAAATGAAGCACGGAAAGGAAAAAGGACCAGGTGACCCCTAACAATGACTAAAGTGAAGCACACAATATATTGAACGTTTTGGCTCATTCGAATTCCTCTCCAACTGTGAAGTAGCTCTTGAGAGGTATGAAAAATACATTTTCAACTAAAATAATCATGTAAGCTTACTAGGCAAAGTTGTGTGTCTTTTGGAAGAAGAAAACAAAGTTGAATGAATGTAATGACTGTTAATCATAAGTTGTGTGACCACTTAGCTTCCAGTAAGTCTAAGTTTAAATTCATGTAATCTTGTTATTAAGAGGTTGCATAAATTCAACTCTTTGAGCATCTCATGTTTTTTCTTCTAATTTTCTCTATTGCTTTTTTGTGTATTTCTTTTCGTAAAAAATTCAAGATCTGCAAAAGATTGATAAAAAAATGAAGCGTTTGAGAACGGCTGATGAAGAAAAAAGAAGAAGTTAGCTTCTTTTTTTATTGTTTCTACTAAGAAATCATTAATTTCTTTATGTATGTGTAACGATTCATTTAGAATCGTTTGTTTGGTGGATAAGAAATAACATTTTATAATTAATATAATGTTAGTTCAACATTTGACTATAGTGTTTGTTAATTCGAGGATAAATTTTAGACAGAATAGTCTGGTGGGCCCTCGTACTTGTATCGAATTGTATTATGGATACTCATACTTAGCCTTTTGTCATCTGGACCCCTGAATCTATCCAAAACCAAAATTTTGAACTCTTTTTTTATGTGGTAACGCGCGTGTTGCATAAACCACGTACATGTTGGCCAAAAATAAAAAATAAGAGTCCACGTACGAAATCCACGTGGTAAATCGTCCAACTAAGAATAGTCCAAATCTCATCGAAATTTTGAAAACTTTTATGGATTTTCCTCTTCTCCTTTTCTCTCTTCTCCTCTTCTCCTCTATACGATTTCTCCACTAAGAATCGTTTGTGATTTGCCATAGATTTTCTCAGTTGAAGCTCAGTTCCACTCCGACTATTATTGTAAGTTCTTGCTCTTGTGTTAATTTTTTATTCTTTTCACTTTCTTGTGCATATTTGTTTGATTAGAGGATCAATTATCATTCAAATTTCTGAAATTTTTTGGGGATTTTACTTTGGTTTGGGTGTAATGTTAGTGCTATACACTTTCTTAGTTGATTAATGACTTCGACTGACTTCAATGACATGTTCCGTGAATTCGAGTAGATTCTAGGGTTTTTCCATAAAATTCCAATTTCGACTAAAATTAATATTCTATTTTTGGTCAATTGTCTTGGATATTGATAGTGTTAGTGGTCCATTGAACAAAAATTACAATTATGGTAAGTTCCTGTCTAATTATTACTGGTATTTTCTTAAAAAATTTAGGGCTATTTGTGTTACACCGTGGTATGTTTACCCTTTTAACTGTAGTTGTTTTTCATGTTAAGTTTATGTTTGTTTTTTCCCTTTAAAAGTAGTTGTTTTTGTCCTGGTAATTTTATGCCTTTAAATTTTAACTGTAGTTGTTTTTCATTTGACTTTACAGGCATCTGAAGATATGACTTTAACTATAGTGACACTTCAATTTCATTATAAGGGCTATTTTATATCGATCCTACTTTAAGGTATGACAATGGAATAACTAGTGTTGAAAATATTAATATAGATGTAGATGAGTTTCTTATTATGTTGTTTCGTAAAATAGCATTGGAATTGAGTGTTGAAAATGTTGAGAAATTTGGATGTAGAGTCAACAAGAAGGGTATTTTTTACATGTTAAATACTGATCATGATGTTCTAAAATTTCTTAATGGTTTGAAGGCTGCTGATTTTGTTGATGTATATTTTGTACATCCCATTAGTATACCTTTAGTTGTTGAGGAGATACTTGAATTGCCTAGCACTAATGTTGATGTGTCCTCATCTCCACAAAAGGATAGTGCTGATGTCTCCTCCTCCCCACATAAAAATAAGGTTGATTTGTCATCCTCCCCACAAATAGATAGGGCTGATGTGTCCTCATTTCAACCATTTGCTGAAAAAGAAAATAGGAATTTAAACAAAAATCAGTCCCCTTTAATTGAAGAGCAGCCACCTTTAGTTGAAGAACAAGATACTGCTCCTAGAGTTGAAGAACATTCTGACTCTGATTCACTCTATGATCTTGATGAAAATATTGTTGATTTGAGTGATTTGGATGAGGAGTTTCTCAAGCTAGGCAGTCTAACATTCAAGAACAAGTTAAAGAGAAGGCTGATAGAGTAAATCTAGATGAGATACCATCTGGTTCTGTAGGTATAGATGCTGTTTTGAAGACATTTATAAGGAGAGAAGGGTTATATTTGAAGGAAATTTGGGTGGTGATGACCCTTATTTTGATAGCTCGGATCTTAGTAGTGACATTAGTGAAGATGAAGGGAAACCTGTTGGGGATGATGAAGTGGTAGATCCACCACCTAGGAAGGAAAGTAAAAAGGTCTACTTTAATCCAACTGCTAAAAAGGTTTGTATTCAACTGTATATGGTATTTTTGAATAACATTGAGTTCAACGAGGCACTGCAAACTTACTCTATTCAGAAGGGTGTTAATATTAAGTTGAAACCTAATGAGAAGGAAAGTGTATGGGCACATTGTAAGAAAATAAGTTGTCCTAGGTAACACTGGAAACTTCAGTGTTAAAACATATTTTCCAGTTCAAAAGGGTTTTAAAAGAACAAGAAACAAACTGTGTAACCCCATTTGAATTAGTAAACATTACAAATAGAGGATTATGAGTGAGTCTACCATCAAACTACATCAGATTCAATCTTTGATACAAAAGGAGTATGGTTTGTATGTTAGTAAAATAAGTTGTAGAAAGGCAAAACTGAGAGTTATGAATGAACATATGACAGATTTTAGAGAGGAGTTTTCTAGGTTTTATGATTATGTTGAGCAATTAAAGACCACAAATTCTAAAACTAATGTATCTATTAGGACATCCAAGAACACACTTCCAGGAAAAGAGGTGTTTATGAGCATTTATATTTGTCTTGGTTCCTTAGAAAGTGGATGGAAAGAGGGGTATAGAAGGATTATTGGTTTAGATGGTGCATTTCTTAAAGGTGTATGAAAAGGTGAAATGTTAACTTGCATTTCCAAAGATGGAAATAATCAGATGTACCCTATAGCATGGGCAGTAGTTGATAAAGAAACCAAGAAGACATGGTCTTGGTTTCTCAAGTGCATCAGACATGATTTGGAGTTTAAAGAAGGTGAAAGACTAACAGTGATGTCTGATATGCAAAAGGTATTACTATATTATTTGTTAAATTTATTCTTTCATTTTTTGAGTATTTGATATTTAACATTGTTGTAGTCAAATGTTCTTTTTTGACAGGGTCTTCATCTTGTATTTATTAATGTATTGTCAAATGCTTAAATCAGATGGTACGCTAGGCATATATGGGCAAACTGGAAAAAAGACTGGAGGGGTGAAGAAAGGAGAAGAAAATTCCGACAGATTGTTAGGGCACCATTTGAGGTAATTTCATAGTCCAAACTTGATGATTTAAGCGAGTTAGGAGAAGGCATTATAGAAACACTATTTAAGTATAACAAGGAAGCATGGTGTAGGGAATATTTTAAAGAACATAGCAAGTGTGATGTGGTTGAGAACAACATGTGTGAGACTTTCAACAGTTGGATTGTAGGTGCTAGGTTCAAATCAATAATCACTATGCTATAGGAAATAAGAGTCAAAGTTATGGAAAGAATGAATTAAATGAGAGAATTTTCAGAAAAATGTATTACTGATGTATCACCTATGGCTATGGATATTCATAGAAAAAATGCTGAAATTGCAGATAATTGTGAGGTAAGGTTTAGTGGTGATCATGGCTTTGAGATTCATGATCCACCATATAAACATGTTGTTGACCTAAAAAGAAGGTGTGTAGTTGTAGGTCATGGCAATTAAAGGGAATTCCTTGTGGTCATGCACTTACAACAATTCATTTTAAGATTGGGTTGTTGAGTCATTTGTCGACCACTGGTATAAGAAGAAAACATACCTGAAAGCATATAACAAATTTATTCAACCTATGACAAACATTAAGATGTGGCCAAAAAGTGATAGACCAGCCATTGAACCACCTGAAATAACATCCATGCTAGAAAGCCCGAAAATTGGAGAAAAGATAGTGATGAGCCAGTTAAGAAGAAGTTTGGAAAGGCTACAAGGAAGGGAAGAAAAATGAAATGTTCTGTGTGTAAGACTTTTGGACATAATAAGACAGGATGTCCAACTCTGGTAAGTTGAGTTTTTATATCTCTTTGTTATTAAATTTTATACTTTGGTAAGTTGTGCTTTAATGCCTCTATGCTTGTAGTAAAATGTTGGTGCTGGAACAAGTGATGCAAGTGTTGGAACTTCAAATGTTGCCACTAGAACTCCACGTGCAGGTATAGGTGAAGGTCCAGAGGAAGTTCCATGTGCAGGTACAAGTGAAGGTCCAAGGGAAGTTCCATGTGCAGGTCCAAGTGCAGGTCTAAGGGCAGTTCTAAGGGCAGGTCCAAGTGCAGGTCAAAGGGAAGTTCCATGTGCAGATCCAAGTGTAGGTCCTAGGGTAGTTTCAAGTGAAGGTCCAAGGGAAGTTCCCTGTTCATATCCAAGTGCAGGTCCTAGGGCAGTTTTATGTGAAGGTCCAAGGGAAGTTCCATGTGCAGGTCCAAGGGCAGTTCCAAGTTTCACTCAACAATCAACTTCTAGTGCAACTGGCCAAAAAAAGAAAAACTAGCACAACTTTGAGAGGAGGTGCATCTCTTGACTATAAGAAACCAAGACAAAAACAAGCGAAGACAACTGAGAGGGTATTTATTTTATCATTTAAACACATTAAATTGGTTTAATTGATATTATTTCATCTCTGGGTTAAGACTTTTGTTATTCTCTCAGTCTGAAAATATTTATAGGGTATTACATAGTGCTACATTGACAAGTTCAACTCCTACCAATATTGATCTTGGTTATAAACCCAAAGGACTAAGGTGGAAGGGAAGAGCTGCAATTACTCAAAGGCAGCTACGAGAGGAAAGTTACAGAAGCACTCAAGGCACACCAAGCACTCAAGTCACTCAAGGAACACATTAGATTTCACTTTATTTAGCTTAATGACATGATCCCCAACTAACTTTATTTTGATTAATGACTTGATCCCAACTGTTTTGTATATGAATTTGTGTTAAATTGCTATTGGGAAGACTTTGTTTTTCTTGTACGAATATGTGCTTGAATGAAGTTATTCAGATTTCTTACGTAAATGCAATTAATTTCATTATCAAATAACACATAGTACAAATCAATATATATATTAAATATAACAGCTACAAACCAAATAACAACAATCATAATAACAGTGATATCAATACTAGTTTTTGATCCTTGTCTTCATTGCCTTCGTTGTCTTCTATGTGTTCCTTGTCTTCCCTGTCTTGCTTGCCTTGAACTCGTTGCTGAATTGTTGATGTTGTATTGTTCATTAGCATCAGCCCATCGGAAAAATCCACACCCATTGCCGGATGATTATTTTTGGCAGCCCAAAACATTCTTTCAAGATTAGTTGGTGTTCTTGATGTCTTTAGTTCAACATATATTCCACAGTAGCAACATCGAATTGTCATCATGAAGACCAACAAAAATACAATAGAATCAAACAAAAAAAAATGATACGAGTAGGTTGAAGGAAAAAATAAAAGACGCCAAAAATAAAAGAGAATTTTTTTTACAAGAGATTGAGAAAAAAAGAAAGAAAAAAACTCAAAAAGGAATTAACAATGGTGTTGAGTGAATTAAAGAAGAAGAAATATCTTTTAAAGGTCAAAATATGACCGTTAGTTCCTTTTTAAGGCGTCTCACGCTCTTCCTTCGACTGAATCACACATTCCATGTGGGTTAATTCCACATAGGATGCCACATCAAAAAAAAAGTATTTAAAATGTTGGTTTTGAATAGGTTCAGGGGTCCAGATGACAAAATGCTAAGTATGAGTATCCATAATACAATCCGATACAAGTACGAGGATCCACCAGACTATTCTTCCTAAATTTTATATTAAAATAATGGTGTTAAATATCACATATAGAAGGTGAGATTTAAAATTAGAAGTTTATGACTCAAAGTTCACGATTCAAGTGTAACTCCTTTGATTAAATAGGTCCAAAATTTATTATATGTACTTTGTTTAGGAAATTTATAATACATATGTACAAAGTCCTAGATAATTATTAGCTTTGCAGTAATCATGACCTGATGGATTCAAGATTTTGAATCTACCATAGTTCATTTGAATTTACTCATATGCGTTGATCCTCCTTAATAATAATTAATTTTTAAACAATTTATAATAACTAATTTTTATAAAAATTCAAATATATTTCATGTTTATTTTAAAGTAGTTTTGGTCATTATATATATATATATATATATATATATATATATATATATATATATATATATATATATATATATATTTAAAATTACAAATTTGTTTTATATAATTTTGTACATAATTAGTATATTTCGTCAATATTCGAAAATCATCTTAAAAAGATTTTATTTTTAGTAAAATATTTTGACAATTAATTTGGTTTATATAATTGTTTATAATTAAAATGATTATTTTATTTCGTCAAGATTAAGAAGATCGTTATGTTAATTGATCTTACTTTTTAGCCAATTTCACTCATTAATTCAATTATTCAATTTGGCTATGTTTGGGACTTCAATTGGCTATAATATAGATTGGTATGGTGAACGCAAATTCATTTCTAGCCTAATTATTTTAAGAAGCCAAATGTTGGGCCAAATTCTAGCAGGCCATAAAATCCATTTTTCATTAATTCGATTCCTCGTATACAAATATTTCCTGGTTAATGTGTGTTCTTTTTTACTTACTAACTCGTTTCTTTCTTCTTTTTGTTGTGAAATCTGCCCAAATTCTCCTTGCATTTTCTCGTTGGAAATGTTTCCCTTTATTGAGTCCAAAAATAGCCACAAACAGGTTGAAAGGCAGTACAGGGGCTGGAAATTGAATATACGTAAAAGCTAAAAACAAGTTGAGATACAACCCATATACAGTGGCAGACATAAAAAAATAGGGCAACTTTCACATATAGCAAATAAAAATTCATATTTGTATGCTATAGCAACGTTTGCATAATTGCGCTCCATAACAAACATAGAAACTGTATAATTCGCTATACATATACAATTGAAGCAAATTATATAAAACGAAGTGTATAAAACAAGAAAGAGAAAGACACTTGGGCATAGAACTATATAAAAACGAATTGTATTATTATAAGTGTATAGAACGATTATATACAATTTGAACTTGTATAAAATGAGAAAGAGAGAAAGATAAAAGAGACTTGACAAGGAATATACAATTGAATCGAATTGTATAAAACGAGAAAGAGAGAAATTAGATACAATTTGAAAATTGTATAAAACGAGAAAGTGAGAAACACAAAAGAAACAGGGCAGGGAATATTTTTATTGTATAATTATAAGTGTATAGGACGAAAATATATGTATTTGCATGTGTATATACAATTTTCTCATGCTTTATACAAACAGAAACACAATTTATACATTTCGATTCTGTTTGTATAAGTGAGAAAGGCGAGGGTGGCGAACGAATTTGGGAGAGTGGCGAGTGAGATCTGAAAGAGGGGAGAGAGGGAAACAAAAATATATGTATTTAAACAATTTTCTCTGCTTTATACAATTAGAAACAATTTTAATACATTTGTGTTTGTATAAAAAGTGAGGAAGCGAGTGAGAGATTGGTGGAGAGTGGCGAGCGAAATATTTGGGAGAGAGGCGCTTGACAATTTTTTGCAAGCGTTTGTTATGGAGCACAATTAAATCAAACCCTAGCTACTCCATTTATTTTAGGTTATTAATTTGCTATTATATACAATTTTCCTTAAAAAATATACACATATTTTTCAGAGAAGTGGTCCAAAAGCCCAAGGGAATTTCAGCAGATTCTTTGGAAGGATTGGACCAAAGCCCATTGTTTGGGCAATTTGTTTAGTCTTAAGACAGGACTTAGGCCCATCAGATTTGAGAATTTGGGAAAAATGGCCCAAGTTCAATTTTCCCTATTTTCCTCTTTATTTATTTGTTATTGATTAACTAACTTTATCTTTTTATGGTTTAATTTAATTAAGTTTTCCAATATAGTCTTTCTTAATCTTGAAATATCTATTATTTGATTATTTATATGTTTAGCTACATATAGTTTATTTTGTGTAAATAAGAGTTATGCCGTCTTTTACTTAAAAGTAACAATTTAATATTATTTTTCTTTACTTAAACTTAGTTAAATTTTAAAAAGTCCTATGGCCGGTTAACCGTAAGTTAATGGACATTTCGAGGGCCTAATACTTTTTCAGAATATATTGAAATTAAATTCTTTTTATTTCAATCGATTTTATCTGTTTAAATCTTTTGAAATAGATTAAAGTTTTCTTTTTTTTTTTAAAAAATAAGTGGCGACTCTGTTATTTTTGAAAATCGATTTCTCTTCATGTCATAAGTTTGATCGATTTTTCGAAACAAGTCATCTTTTTTTGCGATTAAAATAATATGTAGGATTTGAGCGAAAGCTACTGAGGGTTCAATATAATTAGAAAATAATCAAAAAAAAAAGTTCACTTCTAGAAATAAAATGATGAGGATTATGTTTAATGATTTCCTTTTTAAGTATCTCTAATTGAACCTAAGTAAATATTGTTTGTTTTATAATCCAACTTGAGATTTAGGCTTCATTTTTGCCTATAAATGGAAAGAATTCTAATTAAAAAAAATCAAACATATAATAGGACTTTTATATTCCCCCCTTTATTGGAGTAATTCTATATATTCAATCTTATCATAGTGCATGAAAAGGATGTGATTGGCCTCATTATTTTATTGTTCAATTATGTTTTGGTTTGCGTTATTCATTTTAATATAGGTATTACTTCTTTGTAATTGTGAAAGGAATTGAAGAGAATAACTTCTTTTTTGGTACAAAAAGATGTACTCCCTTAGTTTCACAGATAATAACTTGTTTGACTAGACACGGAGCTTAAGAAAATAAATAAGATTTTTGAATCTTGTGATCTTAAATTAAAGTTATGTCAAATGTACCAAATTGACCTTAATCTTGTGACCTTAAATATGTCATGTTGAAAGTTGAAAGTAAACTATTATCAAAAAGAGAGGTCATTATATTCTTTTTAAAACAGACTAAAAGGGAAAGGAGATAATTATTTTTTAAACGAAGAGAGTAATATATTATATCTTGATATGCATCATTACAAGATCTATAGTAAAAGAACACTGCAGTATTTGGGATGGGAGGTAGAGATTAATTACAATACTTACTAATACTAGTTGACCTAATATATCTAGCAAAAGAAGATCCTGCTTTCTCTGCTTTCAACTTCTTCATTGCAAACTAGGGAGAAACTACTAATAACAGAAAGGAGTTGTCCATTTGTAACCTAGTCCTTTCCTCAGCTAAAATATCTGCCACTTGATTCAGTTTTTGATAGTTATGCTGCACTAGAGGGTTGCTCAATCGATGTAGTAGATAGCAGCAGTTAGATAGTTAAGAATTTCCTAGTTTCTTCACAATCTATGGGGATTTCTGTTGGGAAAACGCGGACAAGCACAAAAGTATATATGGTAAAAGTAATGGAAATAAAATGGGAAAATAACGACACGAAGAATTTTACGTGGAAACCCTTCTGAATAAGGGAAAAAACCACGGGTCAAGAGGAGCAATTAATATTACTATAGTAAGGAATTTTATACTGTGTAGTCACGAATACAATACTCAAAGTGACTACTACACACTCAAAAGGAACAACACTCTTTTGGTTTCCGTCTTACTAAAATATCGCTCACACTCTATTTTTCTTCACAGACTATTTTCTTGTATAGTCTATGGAATACCTCACTTTGCTCTCAAAATGATTTTTTTGTCTAACTTGGTGAGTTCTACAAATGAGAAAGAATGCTCTATTTATAGAAGGATAAAACCATACCTATGTCACTAATGACATATGTAAACATAGCAAAGTCAAAAATGGTTGCAAATCTTACCAATTTGCCAACTACCAAATCTTTTCTTTTCAACTCCAATTACTATTCATTTTTAACAATTGCTTGTACCAATTGAATAGCTGAAGTTGACTAAAACAATGGG